TGTCTAATGATTATTGCTAACAGCCCAATAGGCTTATGAGTTTGTTGGAGTTTTTTTTCATTTCCACGGTAATTTTGATTTCTTTTAATATGCTTTCAAGAGGTATTTAGTTCACCTTTATCTCAGGAGATACAATCATCTCTCGGAGTCCTATCTAGATCTGAAGGGGACATGTAAGGTTTTTGATCTATTTCTTACTGTTTCTGTTGATTTTGCTGAGTTTTCTTGTGTAACCGTGGGAATGATTATAACTCATATATGTTTTTTAAACATCAATCCTTTAATACTTATGTTTTATGTGTGAGAATACACTGATTTTGCGGTATTTTAGTCCAAAGTGGGTGAGGTAAATTCTTTCTGGTTTACTGGTTTATCAATAAATAATAGGGAGGAAATTTTGTCAGGTCTTGTGCAATAACTAATAATTATATACCAGCCAGAGATAATGACGGGCATGTCAAATAATTATTTATGAATATGATCTGATATAGATATTATTTGGTATTAAATAAAAAATATCTGTAAATTGTATCAATGATGAAGCAGATTTTGGATATACTATAGGTAAATTAATACAGATCATATACAGATGCATGTTAAATACATGGCAAGGTAATTTGTGGTTTCAGGAGATGCATGTTTGGAGATGCAAGTTTATGATAGAAAATTCTCTCTTAAAAATTTCTAATTGAATAAGTATCTTATAATAACTTTCTGTCAATGATTTTACCTTGTATAAAATCTTATAAATACATTTTGTGAGTCATAAGTACTTCATCAATTTTGCATAATTATTAAACCTCTTGTTGGTGTATTAAATTTCAGTAAGAAACCATTTCTCAACATTGGAAACTCAAGAAAGCTTGGATTACATGAATTTGTTTTCCCATCAATGTCAAATCTATATTTGAAACTTCAACTAGTTTTGCAGAGGACTGTTACGTACCATTACTAGTAATCTCATCCCTAAAGCCAAAAGAGAATCTCACATCTGTTGGTATTGGAACAAATTTTGAATAACCCAAAATGTTTACACTTTTAACTGCTCTTCAACTGAATCTTATCATGCCTGCATTTAAAATTTTAGCATCCAAACTAGATAAATCATCAACATATCATCTCTCACAATTTCAAATCTTTTAAGTCTACAAAATTTAATCTTTTGATCAGAAGATTAATCAGAGAAGATCAATGTAATCAAAGAGCAGAGTAAGCTGACACATTTGCAATATTTGCGTGTGCCAATGATAAACTGCAGAACTTTAACTTTCATCCCCACAATTTTATAGCCCATCATTTTGTATGGAGATGTGATAAGCACTAGATAATCTGGTATAATTATGCCAATTTACATGAGGGGTAACAAGATAACCAAGGTATCTATATAGAGAGATGTCAGGGTGGCTAACAACACAGTATCAATTACATCCCAGCATCGTAAATCTCTCCTCCCCTAATATTTCTACAGGTAGATACCTGTTCAAAAAACAAGTGGGGGGCAGTGTGTTAAGACACTTGTTAAAACATACAGAGATACATGTATGTGATTCTAATTAGAAAATTAACAATGTCAGGGTCAGATATAATTCTATGATAATTATACCTATTATAAGATGTTATTACCTGGGTAGTCAATGTGGTATAGTCATTAATTGGTATGCATCTGCTGTGAATATTGAAAAGGTCAGGTGTTTGGTTAAGTCCAGTGCTAGTAGAATGGGTATATGTATTTCTCAATTCTAAGTGCACATTTAATAAACAGTATTTTTTCTACATATAGAGTAGTTCATCAATTTAAATGTACTGGTTTTGTAAGAGGATTTTTCCTCATACCATAAAAACATTTTGTGAAAATTACCCAATTAGACAATTAAATTAAATTGAACTTGTATCATGTAATATTATTGAAATTTAGGTAAATAATTTTTAAAACACATTTTAAGAAAGTGCTTCTATGGGCTTTTCATTTCATACGCAATGCCAATTTTTAAATTAAATGGTGGATGGCATGATAACAAATTTTGCAAGATCAAGTTTTCTATAAAATATTTTTTTACTGATCATATTTTGTTCAGCTCAAGCTAATTTTAGAATTTTTCAGTCATGGTTATGGCTAGCATGTCAATTCATCTTTAACATGTTGTGTTAAAATAGGAAATAAAAGAGTCAATGGTTTACATGAAATGTACTCCTTAAATGAACACACTGTAAAGTACAGAATCTTTTTTCTTTCTTTTTTTATAGCTCAAACCTCTGACAAAAGGTTTTGGTTTTTACAATAATTACTAAACATTAATTAGACTTTTCCCTATAAATTTTCACTACTAATTATCATTTCCAATTTCAAAGTGAAATGCAGATGTTTTATCATACTAAATTGATAAAATGTAAGAATATGATATTAAAATATGTAATACCGGGTATAATATATTCAGTGTCACAAACAAACATTAAGGACTGGTCAGAAACTCCAAAAACAACTTGAAAATTAAGACATTTTCAGACTGAGCTAAGATGTAAGAACGATTTTTCAGTCTAAACTAAAATTTCAGAACTATCTGGAAATATTGTCACCTTAGTGCAGTAACAGGTTAACTCCTGTTAAATTATGTAAGGAGTTAACCCATTAGTGCACTCAGATAACAATATAATTTCTTCCAGTGCCACAACAAGATAATTGATATGGTATTTGAAGCTCCAAAACTAATTCTAAAGAGAGTTAAAGTATTACATAAGAAAATAAAATCAATACTGCCTCTATGAAAGTCTACAGTCTCTTGTTATTCTACATTGAAGACATCATCAAAACTATTCAGTATTGTATCTTCTTTAATTAAATTTTATTCCAGGAAAATGAAAACGGAACTCATGTGCAGAAAAATATTGTAATAGAAATATCTATCAAAGTCAAACATTGTAAGATGAATAGGTACAAAATTTTAACATCTAACTTAAAAAGATGCTGTGTTCGTTTTTGATGGATTTTAAGTCACTCCATCACTGTAACGTGTTCATACAGCAAATTTACTGGACGGGGAAGACGTCAGGTGTCCCAATTTACTGGTTGGGGAAGACATCAGGTGCCCCAATTTACCGGTGGGGGAAGATGTCAGGTGCCCCAGTTTACCGGTGGAGGAAGATGTCAGGTGCCCCAATTTACTGGTGGAGGAAGACAACGGGTGCCCCAATTTACCGATGGAGGAAGATGTCAGGTGACCCTTCACAAGTAGGCACCTTAAAACAGAATATCAGCCACATTCTGTAACTTTAGCTTAATGTATAACTATTTTCTGTCCAATAAAAATTCTGTTACATATTTGTCTTATACTTAAAATAAAGTTTACATTCAGACTTATGACTCCATAAACCTCCCTAAATTACACCTACTTAATTTCATAATCCTGTCTTATTAGCAAATATGACATTTTTTCACTTCCAACACCTCCTTATCAGATTAACCAGCAAGCTTAAGTGTAGTTCTTAAGGCTTTGGGTCCCTTTGATCAATAATAAGGGAACTGTGGAAAGGGTTCAGCACACACTTTGAAGTTCTAATGGATATCTGTAGGTGATTGGAAGGTAATCAGTTAATTACAACCATTTGTATAGAAGGAAACATTAGAGGAATCAAATCTCAGGAACTGTCAATATCTCTAATCACACTGTAAACAAAATAATCAAGCAAGAGATAAAATCCTGATAAAACAGAATATTAATCCCCTTAGATCTGCTTGAAAGATCATGAAAAATACGATTTCATTTTTCTAGCACTGAGAAGTGATTTTATATGCAGTCTCTTGCAGACAGCCCTCTTGTATGTGGAGAGAAAAACACATTAAAAATCTCCAGGTTGGAGATAGCATCCGTGTAATTAATAGTCTTTTTTACTGATGCCCAATGGCCATAGACTAGATATGAGGCTAATCAATGGGCAAATTCAGAATTTTGTGTGAAATCATACTTTTGCAATTATCCCTTAAAACCTTAAAGTGGAAATGCCTATATATAACCCTCTTATAATAATAAACAAGAATCATCATTGGACATTGGACACAGCTTGACAAGGAAAGCTGGAATGACCTGTTTGATTAGAATTCAGGCCTTAATAACTGGCAATAAACAACCAGTCAAAAACTACTACAAAATGTCAAGATCTTTTCGATATAATTAGTTTTTTTTAATTCTTAAAATAGATTCAGTTGATGAATACTTTTATTTGGTCCATACTGAATTGCAACCATTTTTAACTTATACACTATTTTAGTGTAAATATCAACCAATCCAGAATCAGGCAACAAAAATGACATTTTTTTTTTGTTTCCTTTAAGTTTAAGTACATTGGATTTACTTCCATGTTTAACCTAAGGGACTTTCATCCTCATGAAAATTTGATTTTGTGGAGTTTGACATGATGCACACATTACATGAGGGTGTTAGTTTTTCCAACTTAAAAAAAAAATAATAAAATAAGAAAAAATGTGCGCAAGTTTGTCTCTCTACAAATAACCACAAGTATTCAACATTTTGAGAAATATAACATTTTGGCAAGAAATGTCATGAGGCATGCACCTGCTCAGAAATGTGTTTGCAGTGAAAATCAAAATTTTAATTTTGTCAAATACGCAAAGAATCATGTCCAAAATTAATCCTGAACATTATTAATTATGCCGTGCATATACTTCAATGATGTGGCTGCACCCAAATTTTGGATATGGAATCTATGGAAGCCAAAAGGTGCCCCCTTCAGGATTACATTGAATTACGCTACAATACAATTATATCCTATATTAGAAACATTCTCTTATCTCAAACTTATGCTTACTGAGTTAACACCCAATTTTAAGCTTTTGCACATAGGCACCATAAAAGGTTCCAAGATTTCACATTGATAAGGAAACTTTAATTTGCATTATACAGAAATGATACTTTATTAAATTTTTTTGTATTTCTATTTCCCATAACACCATTTATGAGAGAAATGTATTTCAAGTTAGTGGTCACCTGATGATAAAGGCCACTTTCATATACAAATCACTGTAGAGGTCTTTATGAAGAGGTTTCCCTGTATCCTCAACATCACCTGTAATAAAAATGATAAAAATACAGGTAACCAAAGGCTAACACATTAATAATAAAAATCTTCAATGGGTCTATAATAATATTTACAACAATAATAACCCTAGAAGTCATAAATAACAGGATATTATGTATTTTAATTAAGAGATGTTTCCATAGGTAATGCAAAGAGGCATTTAATATAGTGACACTGCAATTTCACATTCACCTATAATTAAACTTTGTTATTAAAAGTAAACTGATCATTCTAAGCATGTTATTTAAGTACATGAAATTCTTATTAAATGCATGAAATTTGATGCTAGAATTTACTTTTATCATAGTAAGTGCTGTTCATTTAAGGGAACCATTTGCCACACTGGTAAAGGAAAAGCGGCACTCAAATATCATGACAATTAATTGCGATACTGGCCTATCTCAATCTTAACCTTTATTATAATATGAAACTTTTGCTTTGCCAAAAAAACCAACAAAAAAACCCCCAAAAAACTAAAGACTAAACAAAAAATTTAAAATAGCAAGATATACTTTTATAACATGTATGCCCCCTACCAGCAGCCTGAGTTAGTCATGTGGCCAGGTCATTGTGACTTTGACTTTAGACCAAGTGCCTCCAAAATCAATAGGGCTTATCTACTGACCTTAAAGGTTGTGTTTGGCAATTTTATGACAGAAGTTAATACAAACTGCACAAAATAATTTACACAAGAAATGTTTTTCCAACTGGTTGTCAAGACAACATTTTGACCCAGTAACCTCTAAAATCAATAGGGGTCATCTACTAGCCAAGACCAATACACCTGTGCAGTTTAAAGGCTGATGGCCCAAGGTTGGCAAGTTATTAGTTGGAAACTGATTTGACATACAAGGTCAAAGTGACCTTGACCTTTGATCCCTTGATCCAAAATCAATAGGGGTAATCTACTAGCCAAGACCATGCAAGTTTGAGGGCCAAGGTCCCATTGGATGTCAAGTTATTGGTTGAAAACGGTTTTGACATACAAGGTCAATATGCCTTGACCTTTGACCTGAAAAACAACAGGGTTATCTACTGGTCATGACCAATCTCCATACCAAGTTTGAAGTTCAAAGGCTCTGGCTGCCTTAAGTTATTGATAGAAAAGGTTTGGTCTCGGACCAATTAACAAGTGCAAAGCAATATACCCCCACTTCTTGGAAGGGGGCATAATTAGATTTTCATAATTATGACAAAATTGCATTGAATTATCAATACCTGTAGGTATTATCAATGTCAATACCTGTAGGCTGTACATTTAGAAAAATAATTAAAAATCTATACATTTTATTTAATTGGTATCATTTATTAGATATCTAATCTGTTGATATATTCTGTAGAATTATATCTCAGTTTTAAACTTCAAGCATGAAATCTGTTAAATGAATGATTATTTAAAAGATTCAGTTCATTTTACAGAATTAAAAGTGCATTATTGACGATACTGATAAGTTAAATGGTATGGAACATTGTGTTTTTCTTTTTTAAAGTGCACTTTAAAAATAAGAAAAAAAAAGCCCAGTGTGATCAAATGACGTTTAACATTATTAAGCATGTGTCTGATGATTTTTTTCATAGGTTTGACTGTACTGTATAAAAATCTAATTTCACGCCTTGTTTTACATCTTCCATGCAATAATGATATTCTACTAATATTGACAGTAAATCATTTTAGATGACAGAAATTGCCTCACAACTTAGTCATCAATGATGATAATTTTTTCTTCATCAAATGATCATTTTTTCATTATGTGTACTGGCATGCGAGCAGTTCCCGTACAAAAATCATAGTTACTTAAACATTATTTTTTATTACGTTCACTCACCAAAATTTGAATGTTACACATCAATATTCAGCTCGTCACACAAATCATGGAAATTCCATGATGTTCTTAACATAGAACAACCCTTAGTTATTAGGCCTCATATGGGGTACCGAAATTATCCATTATTTTGTATGAAGAGAAGTAGTTCCCGTACATAAAATCTAACCCATTATGATTATACAATTTTATTTTATCGGACCTATTTTTCATTTACAATTGTTGAAAGGACCATTATCTAAGAGATAAATAGATGTAATTCAGGAAATAGAGCATAGACTAAACGCGGGTATCAATTACCCGGTACCGTTACCACAACGCATTCACATGCAAAAGCATGCTTGTATGCATGATATTTTACGCATCAAAGCCATAAAATTATTATATATAGTAATATTGGTCAACATTCTGATAATTAAACAAGTTTACATCACATTGCCTACTTATTTGTAAACAGGTGGTATTAGTGGAAAACCCTTTAACAAGCCTCACGTGTAAGTATTTTTGCGCATGCGCGCAAGGACGGAATCCCCCAGAGAAAACAAGGTCACGTTTTGACGACGCACAGGTGAAAGTGATTTAAAATGAGACTTTATATACGTACTGCCGAACTGACACTTAGATTTTGTCTCGTTTATGTGTCTGCTTGATTTGAAATGAATTTTTGAAGAATGCAAGTAAAAATCAAGCGTTTAAATGAAAAATACGGGTACTGCTTCTGTACGGGAACTGCTCGCATGCCAGTAGTAGAAGTATAGTATAAATGCCCCTAAAAAGAAATAAAGGAATAATTCATAACATTGCATTAAACATTTTTTTCACTATTAAAACATGCAGTTATAAAATGAAACGCTCATCAAATATAAATCTACGGCAGGAAGGAAGCATGTATTGCATGATAATGCATTTTCCATGTCCAAGATGTGGGAGATAAGGCCAAGTGTTGGATGATTAGGCAGGTAGGGGCTCATATTTCACTGAGCTTGTCAAATTATCAGATAACCATCTGTTTAATATCAGTCACTATCACAAAACAAAGTTTGACAGTAACAGTGATATACCCCAACATCACTCTGACCCCTAGCACAAAAAATGTGTTTTTATGAATGTATTATTTTTTTTCTTCATTTTCATTTTTTTATTAAAATAAATGTCTTTTCTTCTTGCTTTTTTTGCCAGATGTTCATTGATACAGATTGAACATAATGAGTTTGTCTTAATCGTACAACATCTTGAACTACCAGGAACTTAGATTGAACATACTGATATTGATTAATTCATCTTGAACTACATGGAACTTACCAGTATTGGTGCCTTGTGTGGAAACATGGTGACGATTTTTAAAGGGTTTTATATCCATGGTCCCTGGCTGGAGAGACAGACACCTAAGCTTAACACAACTTCCAGGCGAGTGGATACCTACAATGATACATTTTAAAGATCAAAAATACACTAGTAACAGTAATGTCAGTAGGATGCAGTTGAAGTAAGCAACCAAACCAAATGGGTCTTTGAAATTCAGGGCATTATAATGAACAGTTCCTGTCCTATTCTACCATTAGCATGATAAGTTATTTATTTATGGGACATAATGTGCCTTTAATTCACAATTTAATTTGTATTTGACATAAAACTTGTGCCAGAATTTTATGACATCATAAATTTTGCACATACATGTACATGTAAATCCCTTCCATCAATGACTGTGACATTTTGTGACACAAACACTGAGTCATCCCTGGTTACATTATGCACTGACTGTAACATTAACTAATTGCAAATGTCGTAAATTTTCTTGAAAACATGTGACACATTGGTTAAGATAGAAAATAAGAACCCCCTGAGTTAATCATGAATGCTCCCTCAGACTTGTCTGAAAGGTTATCTATCAAAATAATCATAGCATTAACTTAATGGACCTTAAAACTGCCTTCTGCCATGCATCCATAGCATTTTCCACTATAAACTTTTTTTGCATCCCTTGCATTTTCTACAATAAAGTTTTAGGATGTTTTCCACTTGCTATTTTCATCAACTTCGGAGGTTATTATAATGTAAGCTAACTGTGTGAGGTAAAGTCTAAACTAGAACTTCCCTAACTTTTAATATCAGGTTTGTTTTTTAAACTTTGTGAAATGGATTTGCCAAACTTTGAATTTGGAACAGTCCATTCCAATTTAAAGGGATTTCAATAACAATTATAAGATGTCACACACAAATAATTAGTTAATTAGTAGTTACAATAGTTACAAACAGTATAGAACCTGGTCAGACTAATCAGCAGACTGGTCTGTCCCAATGTGATGTAGTAACAATAGGAACTTATTTTGATCTTTGTTTAAAGTTTGAAATCATTGAAAATAATTTTGTTTTGTACCTAGCTGCATTTGAGCAGCATTACCAATTAATTTTATTTTAAATATCAATGTGATATTCTGTCGAAGGATATTTTACAATGTTATTAAAATGATTGAGGTTCTCTTTGATAAATCTTCTTTTAAAAATGACCTTAAGAGTATGAAAATACTGTGTTCTTATAAATTTTTAGAATTCCAGAATCTGTAACGCTAGTTATAGCTTTGCACTCTTAAAGTATCTATAAAGTACAGTGAAAAGAACTTTCTCTTGGATCAATGAGGGCAAAATTTAAATAAACAAGCTACTATAATAATTCTATTACATTACAAAAATCAATACATTTTGAAAATATTACAATCAAAATTGCAAATTAACCACAAGGAATTTTAATGAGCACCAGCTGAATGCAAATACACTGTACTGATGGTTAATGTCCAAAAAGGTAAAAACAATCAATTTAATGGTGTTAGCATATTGCTGGATGAGGTAAATTTAGAAAGGGTTCACGCACAAAGGTGACAATATCAATCATTTATAAACGTCAGATGGCTCTGTGGTTGACAACCAGCAGGCTCTTGGCACACTCCTCTTTACAAGGTCTTGTATTTTTGTAACTTGTGGTCAATCACTATTAATTTTATACACTGTGTTCCGCATTAATAACTTTATTACTAATATAAAAGCCCACCAACAACGCTTGCCAAGGAGAAAAAAAGATATATTGGTTGCTAAGTTGTAAATATGTTCAAACACCAGGTAAGAATTTGTAATAAAATGTTCTCTGTGTGACTTATAAGTCCTTTATTCATAACCTTTAAAATATTTTAAATTATGAAAAGAAGTTGTCAGTGCCTTGTGGAGAATAAACAACTGGTTCTTTTGAACTGTCCAATGCAATTATCTAAAGTATAAGAAAAAGGACAACATGGAGCCAAAAGCACCTGGCTGTTGGATTTATTCAGATATTCTGTTGACTTAGTGTGACAACAAAATTTAAACTAAAAACTATATGTAATGAAACAGTTTTTATCTCCTTTTTGATGCACATATTTTTCTAAAAAGGTTGTTCCCATTTATGCTACCTTTGATACCCTAGAGGTTCAGTCGGTGTTTTCTACTTTATATGTCTGCAACTCTGCAATTAATGTGAAGTATATGTACATTTATTACCCATCAAAATCAATGAGACACCTAAATTTGAAGATTGGTGCCAATATTTTAGTTTGATGTGTGCTGTATTAAGGTTATATTTACAATTTTAATATTCTCGTTATCTATAATAAGTGTAGCGGGTGCAGAAATATCGTAACATACATACCTCCCTTAATAAAAAGTAATCCAAGTGTCTGACCTATCATCATAAAACTTCTTAAGTATTAATTCAGAAATAAAAAACAACACTTGCCTGTAATATTAATTATAAATGAATCCAGAATTGATCTAACCAAAATAATTTAAGCAGAAACAAACTTATATCATGTCTGCGATGTAAGAAAGCACAAATATAAGAAGTATTAACTAAATGACAATCATAATGAATCATACATATACACTGTGAATATCCATAACAATAATTCATTAATCAATCAAGAAGTGAATTATCTCAGTAATGATTGCAAATACAAATCATGATTAAGTTTTAACAGAATGCCATATTTACCCTATAATCATTCTCATAGATTGGAATTATTTGAAAGTACATTTATCTGTTATTTAACTTCAAAGGCTAGTCCTTGGAATTAATGATAATTTGGGCTCAGGTGACTGAAAGCAAAATGTATAAAACCTCATGCCAAAGGGTCTATATCATTCTTAATTAGGGAGATTATAATTGTTTGGTTAGTCCAGTTTTCAGTGTCTCCAAGTATTTATCAATGTTTCCAGATTTCGGTACACATAATCAGCAACAAAACTATTTCTATTAATGTTATATCCTGTAAGAAATAAGGATTGGCAATTAATAATTAATTAATTATGATATCTTGCAAGCAGACTAATTATTTAACATATCCTGAAGGCTGATCAAAGTCTGCAGTCAGTCACCAAAACATAATATAAGTAGTTTAAACTTATCAATAAATGTTTAATTATGATTGAAGATCCATGTTTATAAAAATGCACTTTCAGATGTGCTTCCAGGACATTATCCAGTATCAAAGGACAGGTGGTAGTAAACTCTATGTAACAAATTTAAATCATCACCAATGGTCAAAACCACAACACCTCCTAAAGCTAAGAGATGTGCATAGACTCCAGTTATTAGAGCCCATTTAGTCACCTTTTACCGTCACGCAGGAATAAACAGTCGCTGCAACTCTGATGCCTCAACCCTTAGCCACAAGGGGGAAAACAAGTTATATGTTTCAACATGTTTGATTAGCTGCTTGATAACAATCATTATTACTTACTTATCAACCACTGGAATTTGTGCACCAACTTGAAGATCATTTGAATTTATTTTGAATTTTTTTATGGTGTTTTTTCTCTAAAGAGAAGTAATTCATCACATATTGAATCCAAAACACGGAGCATTTGTACAAAATTTGTGACATAATTTTTCATCACTTTCAACAAAATTCAATTATTTCCACAAATTAAGAATTTCTTGCATATCTTGTTCTTACATTTCAACAGAAATTAGCAATCTAGAATTTCAATTAAAAGATCAAGCAAATCTTTATTCATTTATAGGGTTCTTCCTTGGGGGGTAATCAAATTTCATCTTCATCAAGGGATCAACCCCACCCACCAGTAGACCCTAATATCCTCTCCCAAGTGCTAATATTTCTTCCCATTTCCTTAGGCTAAAAGTTAGTCATTAGAATTTATTTTCCTGCTTAAAATTTATCAAGTGATAATAATGATGTCATAAATGGTACACTGACTACAATGTACTAATGTTAAGATACCATAATGAAATGAGTGCTCAGATGAACTTAACCTAACAAGAGATGTTACAAACATGCACCAGGTGCATCCACCTGGGAAGTCAGAGGGAAAAGGGCCAATGGGTTTTTGAGTTATTGGTTGGAATTGAAGGTCAATGTGACCTTGACCTTTGACCCAAAAATCGATAGGGGTCAACTACCAGCCTCTATGCTAAGTTTGCAGTTCCTAGGCACAATCTTTTCTAAAGTTATTAATTGGAAACAGTTTGGTCTACGGACTGGTCGAGGGACTGACCTACCTTATAATTCAGCTAAAACGGCAGACTAAGGTTCATAGGGCTAAAAGGGTGTTTTCAATTAACAAAACCGATTAGAAGAACACAAGACTCATATTACAAATGGTTAATCCCTTCCCCCGGAAGAAATTACCTGAAGGTTGAACTTTGGCACATTTTACTTGGTGCGAGGAAATCCTTTAAAAGCCCTGTAGTTATGGTCATGCCAAGTACAGTTTTCAAGTAAGAGAATGTATATGTGATTTTTTTATTTTGTTTTATTTTTGTCAGTTTATAAAGTTTGAAGAAAATCACTCATGTACATTTGGAGTTATGCTCAGGAAATTTTCTTTAAAGTAAATCTGATAAAAGGGATAAATCTTGAAGAAGGCAACATTGAGTTATTGTTCTTAAACACTGGGCTTGCTACCAGTGTGCTATGTCAATGTATAAATATAAAAAAAAGGGAAATAACTCTAAAAGTAAGTAGGAAAGGTAGAGTCATAGTACTTGCACAATGCACTTCCTCTAAATGTGCTCTGACAGTATTTGAAGTTTAAAGAATATTGTTCAATTACTTTAATTTGAAGTTGCACTGTGGTTAAAATTGGGACAGACGCACGGATGCACAGACTGAAGACTATTTCTAATATCCCCTTCGCCTTTGGCAAAGCAATAAAAAACTGTGATGTACTTCATCCTTATATATTTATTTAATTAATCAAATAAAACAATCCATAAATTACAATCCTCACACTGCACCAACAGGTAATGAATTTGCATTATCTATGTTTCATTAACAAATTTAAAGACATCAGTATATTGTGAATTATATTAAATAATAAGTGTTTACATTATTTCATTTTTAATATCCAAATCCTCACATAAAATTATCTGAAA